TCACTTGTTTAACTAGCTTACTAGCATGCAGTAAGACATGTATCATCTGAGAGACAATTATAAAATGTTTCGTTGTTGCCAATCCCCCAAAATGCCATTATTTATTAAGTCCAAACAATGGTGGTCAAATTCTAACAACTGATCAACAATGTGAACTTGATAAGCAGTTCTCGATAATTAGTTCTCAACAATTATTTGTTATTATTAAAGTTTAACATTATAAAATTAACAAAAATAATATAAAACTCATATCCTGGCTAAATAGCCACATGGCCTTCGAAAACCTTATTTTCCCTTCTCGTTCTCCCGCTGTTCCTAGCTGGTCATGCATTCTTTCCAAAAATTGGGACTTTTTAAAAATGCCGCGAGACGTGGGACAAATTGTTAAAAATTGGGACTGTCCCGCCAAAAGCGGGGAGCGTCTGGTCACCTTACCTTACAGCCCAGATTCCCTCTGTATGAGCTTGTGTCCCCAGGGTTTGACCTAGAACTGGGGCTCAGCACAGTCCAGAGCTTTTGTCTCCTTCCCACTAGAGCAATCTAGCAGTACAGTCAACAATCCGTCCTCTGTGCACATTCACATGTGCGTCTTTCGCCACGCCCCTAAGTTGCCACCTTACAGCCTAGATTCCCTCTGTATGAGCCTGGGTTTGCAGGGTCTTGCCCAGAAATGGGGTTTAATGCAGTCAGAACTGGGGTTTAGGGAAGCCCGGAGCTTTTATCTCCTTCAGGCTAGGGAACACCAACCAGGCACTCAGACACCCCTCCTCTCTATCTCCATCCTCTCCACACAAGCGCCTTGTCCCACCTTAGGCTTTTACAGCTCCTCTGATTTTCCTTCTGGTTTTCTCTTTCCTTCTAGTTGTAGAATTTCCAGTCAGTCAACTTTTCTGTAGTTCTGGATAATGTCCATTTTGTATTTTAGTTGTATTTTTGAAATTGTTGTGTGAGGCTGCAGTTAGGCATTTACCTACGCCATCATCTTGGTTTCTCTGAGGATGAAATTCTTATAATCAAATTTCTCTCCATAGAAGGACTTGCTTACTGTACCATTATGGCACGTGAGGTCACCAACCTGGCACATAAATCCCAAATAATTCTGTGAAATCAGGAATTTTTGTAACCAGACCCTTCCCCCCAGAACTCAGAGCACAAGAGTTTTCTGCTCTATGGAACTTTGTCTGCAAACAGCATGAAGGAGATTCAGCCCAGGGGCTCACCTTCAATGGCGATGTGAAAGAACACAGTAGGATTCATCATGGCTGGTCATGGATGGCTCTGGGGCATTCATGTCTGCAAAGCAGCCTATTTTTATATTTTAACAGCTACATAGCATTATCGTGGTGTTTTTCCTTTTTCCATATCTCGCATGGAAAGGGAGAAAGACAGGTTCCTGAGGGGAGGAGCTGGGGATTAAGAAATTAGAGAAAGAAAGAGACAAGAGGCAGAAATAGTTTCAAAGCTGGGTGCCAGGTGGCTTCCTGTCCCGTACAAGGCCACACATTTATTGATTTCCAAAAGGATTATAAGGTTAAAAGGACTTTTGGGTGTGCCCAGATCCTATTCATCAAAATCTGGGAAAGCTCCTTATTTTTTGGTACAAGATTTAGCAAGACCTGGGTGAGTCAAGGTCCTATTTGTTCCTCATTCCCAGCGCTGGATAAAGATAAGAAATCAGTACTGATAACAGGATTCTGCCAGTGCCCTTGGGCTCAGCTGATAAGATTTTAAAAGAATGTCCATGTGCCTTCCCAGACCGCTCTCTACACATTATATGTTGGAACCATAATTTATTCATGTCCTGATTAAATAAACTTTCTCAGTTGCTCTTCAAAACAAAATTACAAAGATTATCCTTGTATATTCTTGTTTCCATTTTTAAAACATTTTGAAATTTCAAATATACACTAAAATAGACAAACTAATATAAAGAACTTTATATAACAATAAGCCAGCTTCACCAGTTATGAATGAGAGGGCAGGGCGGGGCGAGGACAAACTCCTGATTCCACTGTGGGGCAGGGCAGAGTTATCCTCCATTTTGTAACTTAACCCTAGCCCTCACCCAACCAATCAGGGTCAGCCGAGGCAGTGACATCACCACCGACCGGAGTAAAACCCCAGGGCTGGGCGAAGTTCGCTCTCTTCTGCCATGCTGCTGGCCTGAGTGGGACAGAGCCCATGCTAGCATGGAAGAGATTCTTTTGTTTATTGCATCGGACTCGGCTCCCTGGTGGTCCTTGGGGATCACGAAATCTGGGCGTAACATGAACTTATGGCCAATTTTGTTTCACTGATACTCCTACCCACATCCCCTAGTCCACCCATATATTTTATTTTATTTATTTATTTTAAATATATTTTTTACTGATTTTTTTACAGAGAGGAAGAGAGAGGGATAGAGAGTTAGAAACATCAATGAGAGAGAATCATCAATCAGCTGCCTCCTGCACATCCCTCATTGGGGATGTGCCCGCAACCAAGGTACATGCCCCTGACCAGAATCAAATCCGGGACCTTTCGGTCAGCAGACTGATGCTCTATCCACTGAGCCAAACCGGTTTTGACTCCACCCCTATATTTTAAAGAAAATTCCAGTCATTATGTCATTCACTTTATAAATTGTTCCCTAGATATCTTTAAAACCTGTGCATACTGTTTGTGTACATGTAAGAATACACCTGTAAGATAAATTCCAGAATGTGGATTTCCTGATCAAAATGGAGTGGAATTTCACATTATGATGTTGTCCAATTGTCCTCTACAAAAATTGTATTTATTCTCCCATCAACAGTAAATCAAAGCACCTGTTTCCCTGTATCCTCATCAAAACAGCATATTGTCCAATTGTTAATCTTTGCCCATATATTAAAACATGGTATTTTAAGTTTTTTATTTTTGTGTTTTTGTTAATCCTCACTCAAGGATATTTTTTCCATTGATTTTTAGAGAGAATGGAAGAGGGAAAGACATAGAGAAATATCTATGTGAGAGAAACACATCGATTCATTGTGTTTGGCACAAGGCCCCGGCAGGGAAGGAGCCTGCAACTGAAGTACCCTCCCTTGACTGGAATCACACCCGGGACCCTTTGGCCTGCAGGCCAAGGCTCTATACACAGAGCCAAACCGGCAAGGGTTTAAATTTTTATTTAATATTGGATACTATCTTGGGCCTTTAAAAATCATTCATATTTCTGTGGAAACCTGTGTATATACCTTTTCTATTTTTCTGAATTGGTAAACTTTTTCTTACTGATTCTTTTGTCATAAGGAAATTGGACATTTTTTGGTCATCACATTTATCGATAACAAATTTTACAACTTCTGGGGTTTATATCTTGTTTGGACAGTTTCTCTTCCCTCTAACCTTAATTTTCTCTCAAGTTTTCTTCTAGTATTTTTTAAAAATATATTTTATTGATTTTTCACAGAAAGGAAGAGAGAGGGATAGTTAGAAACATCGATGAGAGAGAATCATCGATCAGCTGCCTCTTGCACACCTCCCACTGGGGATGCGCCCGCAACCAAGGTACATGCCCTTGACCGGAATCGAACCCAGGACCCTTCAGTCCTCAAGCCGATGCTCTATCCACTGAGCCAAAGAGGTCCCGGCTCTTCTAGTATTTTATATGTTCTATTTTTTACATATAAATTTTTGCTCTACTTAGAATTTATCTTGATTTAAGGATGTCAAAGGTATACAGTGTTTCTCATCACATATCTAGACTAGTAGGGAGACAAAAGTTTTCATTCTGGCCGATACTAGTTTGGCTCAGTGGATAGAGTGTCGGCCTGCAAACTGAAAGGTCCCATGTTTGATTCCGGTCAAGGGCATGTATCTTGGTTGTGGGCACATCCCCAGTAGGTGTGCAGGAGGCATCTTATTGATGTTTCACTCTCATCGATGCTTCTAACTATCCTTTTCCCTTGCTCTACGTAAAAAATCAATAAAATATATATTTTTAAAAAAGTTTTCATCCTATAATTAGAAATTAAGTATAGATACAAAAATCACAATCAGATATCCTAGCCCTGCCTGAATGGCTCAGTTGGTTGAACAGCGTCTTGTGCACCGAAAGTTGCTAGTTGGATTCCTGGTCTGGGAACAAACGTTGGTTGCGTTCCCAGTCCGGAAGGCAACCTACTGATGTTTCTATTTCACATCGTGTTTTTTTCTCTCTCTTCCCCTTCCTCTCTCTAAGCATGTCCTCGGATGAGAATTAAAGGGGAAAAAATCAGCCCAGGGTAGATCATCTATATTAGATGGTTTGCAGATTTCAAGTTTTGAATGGGCAGAAGGGATTGAGGGCAAAGAGGAAGGAAACAGGCAGTGGCAAGACTGGAGTGTCTCAAGAAAGGTTAGATTTCCTAATTCTCAAATTCGTAAACGCAGTGAAACCCCCAGTGAGCACCCCAGGACGCGCCAGGTTTCGTGCACAGTGCTGGCCACCTTCCCATGGAGTCTCTGCAGGCCCCTCACCAGGACAGGGTGGAGCTCCGTAAACCCCAACACCTTGGCTCAATTGCCCCCTCCCTGAGCCACGGGGTCCGTAAGCAAAGCTGAATCAAAGACAGCCTGGGGAATAAGAACCGCCGGCTCCTTCCGATCGCTGCGAGCCAAGCCCTCACCCAAGATGGGTGTCAGAGTCCAGCGCTGTGACGTCTGGGCCTCTGGAACGCGGGGACGGGGAAGCGGTCCTCACCCGGGCGCGCGGCGGGCTCTGCGGCGGGCGGGGCCTGGTCTCCCGCCCCCGCGCCCCCCACCTCGCCTCTCCCGCGCGCCCCCGCGCGGCCAGCCCGGCCTTAGCGGGCTCGGGCGGAGGCGAAGGCGGAGGCGGAGGATGAGGCGGAGGATGAGGCGGCGGCCTCCCCGCCCCTGGCCCGCCTCTCCTTCCTGTCGGCGGCCCGCCCGTCGGCCCACTCCCGGCGGCGGCGGAGCGAGGGGAAGAGCGGCGGGGCGCCGCGGGCCGGGCGAGGAGGAACGGCGCTCGCGGAGAGATGCTGGGCGTGGCGGCAGGAATGACCAACAGGTAAAGTTCGGGCCCTTCCCGGCCGCGCGCTCCGAGCACCGCCACGGAGGCTGCGGGCGGCGCCGGCCCGGCCCTGCCTCCGCGCCTTCCGGCCGGCGAGCCTGCGGCCGCCCCGGGCCGCTCCCGCCGCCCGCCCCGCGGCCTGCCCGGCGCTTCGGAGGGGCGTTGGTTCCCGGGACGTGTCCCATAGGTCATGAGATTTTGAGGGCGATATTGTCTTAGTGCTTAGCAAAGTACTCAACGTCAAATATTTGAGTGAATAATTTATATTCTAGCAGTAGGAATGTGATATAGGCCAGCGGTCTTAGCACCCATTTTAAAAATAGTAACTTATGGTAGTTATGCCTATAGGTATTTACTATATTAGAAATGAATGCTGAGACATTTAAAAATATTTTGCATAGAAGAACACAATTGGACTTTCCTATCCCCTTTGCCTTCAGTTTATTGCCATATATTTTGATTGAATTACATGAAGAAAAATCTGATAAGTGGTTGGAAAGGGGAGGAGTATTTTACTAGGTTTTTAAGTAATTGTGGCTATTTTTTGTTACTACACCCAAAAGAGGTTACTGCTAGTTTCTTAAAGATTAATTTGGATGTGAAATCTGAAGCCTTACAAATGAACTTTTCACATGTGATACATTCATTGTTCTATTCGGTAGTTTAAATGAGCTTGTTACCCATTGTAACATCTTATGTTTATCATTTGGAAAATACTGATTCACCAAGTTAAGGCAGATCTTCGAAATTGCTGACACATTTCATTATACAATATCACCACTGATTTCCCATAAGTATTGTGAAGCAGTCAGGCTCAAAGTGGTGGATACAAGTTTTCCAACATTCTAATTTTCAGTTGAAATCTTGATTTTTACTATTGGTAGACAACTATTATCAATTGTTTTCCTCAAAGTGACAGGCTCTATTTTGTTCAGTTTCAAGAAATGTCTACAAACCATAGTTTGTCATGTTATTGTTTCTAGTAAAAATGTATCATGAAAAAAGCATTTAATTTATGTTCTATTAACATATGCTTTTCCTCGAGAAAGCTGATTTATCTTGGTGTGCAGCAGAAGTGCTTTATGCATACGTCTTTTTAAAAAACTTTAAAAAAAAAATTGATTTCAGAGAGAAGAGAGACTGAAAAGAAAACATCCATGTGAGAAAAAAACATCTATCAGTTGCCCCCAACTGGGGATCAGACCACAACCTGAGCATGTGCCCTGACTGGGAATTGAACCCACCACCTTTTGGTGCTCCAACCAACTGAGCCACAATGGCCAGGATATGCATACTTTTTTTCAAGTGACAAAAATGAAAGTCAAGAGTCAAGATTTATAACATTCATAATTTATACTGCTTCATCAACGATGTTTTTTCTTCATTAAAATGTATTAAATAAATATTAAGTTGATACAAAATTTAAAACATTTGTAAAAAAATAGACTAATTATACAGTAGATATACAGTATTAGTAAAGAGTATAACATTTGGGCTGTTTACAATTTGGGGATATTTATACTATTAATAGAGGAATATGTAAATTGTCCGGGACATTGGCATGCAACGACCAGTCAGGATGGGGGAAGGGCTGCTGCAGAGAGCTCTTGGCACACCTGTACCAGGGTCCGAAGGGCATGGAGAGGAAGGGAGAGCAGATAGGCAGTTAGGGGAATCAGGTCAGGAGGGAAGAGCAGATAGGCGATTAGGGGGATCAGGCAAGGAGGGGAGGGCAGTTAGGGCTATCAGGCCAGGAGGAGAGAGCAGTTAGGGGGATCAGATTGGCAGGGGAACAGTTAGGGGCATCAGGCAGGCAGGTGTATGGTTAGGAGCCAGTAATTCCGGATTGTGAGAGGGATCCCAAATTGGAGAAGGTGCAGGCCGGGCTGAGGAACCCCCCTCCCCATGCACACTTCATGCACCGGGCCTCCAGTCTATACTAATTACAGGGTAATATGCTAATTATTATTATTATTTTAAAAAATATATATATACTTTATTGATTTTTTACAGATAGGAAGAGAGATGGATAGAGATAGAAACATCGATCAGCTGCCTCTTGCACACTCCCTACTGGGGATGTGCCTGCAACCAATGTACATGCCCTTGACCAGAATTGAACCTGGGACCTTTCAGTCCGCAGACCGATGTGCTATCCACTGAGCCAAACCGGTTTTGGCATATTATGCTAATTAGACCTGGAGATTTTCTTGGAGACCTTCTGGATGTCCTTCCGGACAAAGCCATTTGGATGGGGCTGAGACAAAGGTGGTTATGGGTGATCAGGCCAGAAGGAGAGGGAAGTGGGGGTGATCAGGCTGGCCAGCTGGGAGAAAGCAGGCAGGCAGGGGGCAAGCAGACCAACAGAGCGAGGCAGTTGGGGGCAGTTGGGAGTGATCAGGCCAGCAGGGGGAGCAGTTGGGGGCAAGCAGGCTGGCGGGGGGGGAGGGGGCAGTTCGGAGCGATCAGGCAAGTAGGCAGAGTGGTTGGGGGCAGGCAGGTGAGCAGTTAGGAGCCAGTGGTCCGAGATTCCAAGAAGGATGTCCCACAATGGAAAGGATGCAGGCTGGACTGAGGGACCCCCCCCTCCATGCACGAATTTTGTGCACCAGGCCACTAGTCTATCCTACCTAATGAAAGAGTAATATGCAAATTAACCACCACTCCACTACATCCACAAACCATGCTCACCAGCCATGCCCACCAGCCACTCAGGAGTGAATATACAAATAAACCAAACCAAGGTGGCTATGGCCACAAAGAGCAGGAGGGAGGCTTGGGTTTCCCTGGCAATGAAGGAAGCCAAGCTTTCCACCTGTCCTTGCCAGCCTAGGCCTCCATTCAAGACAAAGTTTCAATGATAGAAGATCATAAATCTGAACAGAAATGGCGGCAGCCATGGTGCTGGAAAGACCAGGAGGCTAGGGTTGCCCCTGGGTGATGGAGGAAGCCAACGTTTCCGGGCACCCTGGCTGGCCCCAGGCCTCCGCTTAAGGCTACAGAGTTTCAATTATAGAAGAATCATAAATTTTAACAGAAATGGCTGCCGCCACAGAGCAAACAGAAGGTTTGGCTCCGCTCCAGGCTACAAAGTTTCAATTGTAGAAGATAAATAAACCCCAGATACCAGGGCCTCCACTTGAGTCACCAGGGGGCGTGGCCAGCCTGCAAACCACAATAGGCCCCTCGCCCAGGCTGCCCCACACCCCAAGGGAACTCCCACCCTGATCCAGGACACACTTCAGGGAAAACCAGCTGGCCCCCACCTCTGCACTCAGCCTCTATCCTATCTAATAAAAGTAATATGCAGATTGACCATCACTCCAACACACAAGATGGCTGCCCCAATGTGGTCAAAGATCCTGCCCCCATGTGGACACAAGATGGCCAGCAGGGAAGGGCAGTTGGGAAGCACCAGGCCTGTAAGGGAGGGCAGTTGAGAGAGACTAGGTCTGCAAGGGAGAGCAATTGGAGGCGACCAACCCTGTAGGGGAGGGCAGTTAGGGGTGGCCAGTCCAGCAGACAAAGGAAGTTGGGGGCAAACAGGCTGGCAAGGGAACAGTTAGACATCAATCAGGCAGAAGTGGTTAGGGGCCATTAGAAAGGCAGGCATGCGAGCAGTTGGGAGCCAGCAGTCCTGGATTCTGAGAGGGATGTCCGACCGCCCGTTTAGACCCGAAACCTATGGGATGGGATCCGGTCTAAATGGGCAGTCGGACATCCCTTGAGGGGTCCCAGATTGAAGAGGTGTAGGGTGGGCTGAGGGACACCCCTCCCACCCCGTGCATGAATTTCATGCACCGGGCCTCTAGTATATATATAAAAGGCTAATATGCAAAGTGTCCCCTCGGGAGTTCATCCTGGAGACCAGGAGTTCGGTTGCTCACTATGACTTGTGCTGACCACAAGGGGGTGGTGTGGAACGACAGAAGGCCATGCCCGGCAACCGGGGAAGTAAGGCCTTGGCCAACAGCCAGAAAGCTCAGAACAGCCCTGATTGCCAGCCAGGCCTAGGGACCCTACCCATGCATGAATTTCATGCACTGGGCCTCTGTTTAATAATAAAGCTATTGTGAATTTTGTGGACAGGTTTTTATGTAAACACTAGTGGCCCTGTGCACAAATCCACGCACGAGTAGCTCCTGCTGCTTGTCTCAGCTGGCTGCCCCATCCACGGCACATAGCTTGCTGCTCCGCCCCCCTGTAGCTCTCCACCACTCACAGCTTGCTGTCGCACCCTCCTCTAGCTCTCCCCTGCTTGTAGCTTGCTGTCCTGCCCTCCTGCTGATCGGTTGTTATGTCGTGGCGTAATGACCATTTGCATATTACCTCTTTATTATATGGGATAAGTTTTCTTTTCTATGAGATAAATGTCCAGGAGTACAATTGCCAGGTTTTTTGACAGACTTTTCCAGAGTGGCAATATTATTTTCATCAAGGACATGTAAACGAGAAATTGGCATTCTCTTCTTGTAGGTACATGAAGAATTTGGTTATGCTACAACTGCTTTGATTAGTGCTGAAAGACCAGCATTTGTACCTGTTATTGCTTTTGCACTATCAGTGAAAGTGTCAACACAGTGCACAAGGCACATATCAGTATATCAGCTTCTTAGGAACACCTTAGCATTATTATGAAAAATAGTTTTGATCTTTTAGACCTCTTGAAAAGATCTTAAAGACCACTCTGCCCTCCCCTTCTCAGGTTTCCAGACCATACTTTGAGAACCACTGTTAATGACATCCTAAATGATGAGGGAAGTATACATATTTGAGATATTTAAAAAGGAACGTATACAGAGATTTCTCTTTAAAATATGTACTGGATGCTTGTAGTATGTACTTTCTAGTTTTGGGGAGTTTTAGTGGGACTTAATAACTAACCCAAGAAGAACACTGGAAAGATTGCTGCCATTCAAGATTTTCCCTGACACTGGCCACCCCTGCTATGAAAAGTGTAAATGTCATGGAAATGAGTGTGTTCCTAAAACTTCAGT